CTTTGTTTCGAGAAATTTGGATTTGCATAAATAACTTGATATGGACGGTAGTAGAATCCATAGAGATTTTTCGAACTCGTTCGGATACGATTCGATCATCAGAGGTCAGAACTCTGGCAAAGGCCTCCCGTTGAAAGCATCCCTTGCGGTCGAATCATTTCATAGCTCCAAATCTTCGTCCCGTATATCATCAAAGACTATTTGCACTGACGTTTCGAATGAATTCCTGAACGGATGGAAACCGTTATCACTCGATTCAGGGAAGTATTTCCTGAATTCATTCTTCAATGCTGTGAGATGATCCGAATTTTCAGTTTTCAATATGTCTGATAACAGTCCGTCGTAACTTGCAACATCCAGAACTGCTAAGAACATTGAGAAATTGTTCATCTTTGCCTTTCTTATCCAGTCATCCGGCTTACTTGTGAAGCTCTTCAAACAGTCATTAAATCTTACTATACTCTGGTGCTTCCTTTGTTTGTATTTACAGAGTTTGTCAAGCGGTTCAAATGTTTCGGCCAAATATGCAGGACACATTAACGACCCGTCAAGACAAATACAGACGTCTTTTTCGTCAGCTGCAAAACTTGCTCTTTGATGTCAGCAGATATTTCTCTTCTCTTAGCGATCAAATCTGACAGTGGGATGGCTGCGAGAAATTTTCTCCATTCTATTACCCAAAATAATTTCATCAATTTTGACAGAATATGATTCGACCACGTTCGCTGCTGTAATTGTTTTGGCTTTGCTATCTCCAATACATACCATAACGAATGACGCTTCAATCAATCTCTCATAGTTATCGTTCCTCATTCAATGGCAATTAAGCTCCATGTAACAGCTACATGAAGTACGAGTCTGCCGATCTCCCAATTTCACCTGACACCCGAAATTCTCCCTAAAGAACAATTTCTTCTCCTCCCCCTTCCAGTCAGGCACACTGGTATATATAATTATAATTATAGTGTTCGGTACTGCTAGGGAGTCCTAATTTTCCAGTACCTGATCCATTTGAGTTAAGGGCTAACATCTTTCCTAGATGAAAGAGTGGAGCCGACTGAAGTAGCAGTCATGAAAACGATAACAGAGGAGATGTACTGATTTGCTGATTGGAAGCAGAATTATTCAGAAATGTGAAGAAATGTGAAAAACGTTATTAATTCTTGATCTGTGGAGTTCGAAACGGTAATTCCTCACTTAATCTCTGCATCAGTGGTCCTCATGCTTTTGCGTTCCTTGGCCCCCTTTGGCCCTCCAACAATTCACGTCATTGCAGTTTCGCCTCTTCTGATAATTGATTTTTTATTAGCCACGAAACACAAGAAATTGATCAACTCATCAAAAAGTTTGCAACTAAGAATTCATCGTTCAATGTATCAAGGCAATCAATCCGTTGTGTTCAAACTTCGAAAATCATTTTGAAAATATTATTGCACAACTATAGAAGAATTATTCTTCAAAAAAATCAATCAACAGTAACCTTGCCAGCCTCTTCAATTCTTGCTAATACCTTCAAATTCCCTCTGGTGCTAATTTCTTTCCCCTCCCTATGAGAAGCATGCTGTGCACATCTCATAAACATCTCGAAAACGTTTCCTGAATTGGTCGAATGCAAAATGTATTCACTCGTGTTATGCCAAAGTGAGAATGGAAGCATTTATTCTACAATAGAACAGAACATGTATCGGAATTCAATCTTAATTTCCTCTCCAATAGATTGTTGTTTTTTTTTTTGAAAAATGCTGCACTCCTCCTCCATGGGCAGAGGCAAAATCTTCATGATTCACACAGATTTTTATGATGACACCATAAAAGTCATAACACTTTCTCGACATCTATTTGATGCATGTTCTATCAAAATGAATTTTGTACACTGAATCATGAAGATACGAAAGTGATTCATAGTTGTTTGATGAATGTTTTAACTAAAACACACTGATTTCTTGTGTAATTGTATGAAATTTTAATCACTTGTTCACCACCGTCAGTCCGTTCGTATAATTTCAATGTTTTTTAGAATCGGTTAATCACCCAAACCAAGTAAATCGATGCAATAGTTTTCGCTAGTGTTGAGGTGCCATCAGTTTTTTAGGCACACAATTCAGTCTGATGCTTACATATTATTATTCATGGTTTGCCCTTGTTTTAATCAACAATGAGGAGGCGAGCACTGAATATTTCGAATAGCGATCACTATTCAGCCTACCACTCGCAAAAGTGTCACAGTGATAACGATCATTAATTTTATCAGCAACTTTAACATTGAATCACACACATGAATAGAATCACATCATTTTAATCAATGTGTACGCTTGTTTCCTCAATACAGCTCTTTGTAAATGTTTACATGGCATGAGATAATTTCTGTGTTGAAATGTTATGCTGCCGACACCGTTCAGATGTACACTTAGATTTCTTTACTATCGATAGTCGACTACAGTTTTTACCTGGAACTTTCTTGCGTTTATTCCAGAGAATTTATGGAAGTTTCACTAAATGGAAATGAGCTTTGAGTCATCTTTTCAATCATAACAACGGCTAGAAAGCTGATAAGCCGGAAGAAAAAATGTGAATTCTCTTGAAATTTTGATAAAATCCATTGATTAAACAGCAACAAAGTTTGCCCTGTAGTCCATCACTTACACGAATGTTGATCATAAAAAGACTCATCAATGTTACTATTGAATGATGCAACTTTTATCCAAACTTTTCAGTGACTTTTTAAAATCACTTGAAATATTCCAGCATATTTTGTTACGATGTGTTCCCTATCGCTTATTTCAGTTGTTGACATTAGCCCTTATCATTGCTTGCAGAGAGATTTTATCAGTTTTGCATCAATAATTCTCAGCCNAGCCTCCTATAGTTTTGTCGGTGTGTGCCACCGTTTTCATTTGTAGAAGCTTTCATTGATCGTCTCTGAATTCATTCAGTTTCATTTAGCCTTGAGTATCACCAAGTGATTACCATGAAATGTCAATCATTTCATTTTCCATTTTCCTTCGATCAGAAATCGCTAAAATTCACTGCGCATATTCTACTTAAACTGTTGATAATGATGTAGAACGCTTCGTTCCACATTTCATTATTTGAATTTAATTTTCAATTTTCATTTTTAATTTCAGTTCTAAGTTGTCAAAGTAACACGTTCAAATACTCGTTCGTGTATGATTGAATATTGACCGCAATCAACAACAACTTCTTCAGCAACTGAACACCAACTACATGAGTCGAATTCGAAGGCAACAGAGGTGATAAAGACTGGCACTGGCTTTACAAATGATTCGAATGAGGCATTGAAATTCAGCTTGATCAAACAACAGCAAAGTTTGCTCTGTCATCCATCAATCACACGAATGTTGATCACGGAAAGACTAATCAATGTTATTATACAGTTGAATATCCTAACTTTTATCAGTACTTTTCAGTGAATTTTTGAAATCATTTGATATATCTTCCAGTGTATTGATGCGAATCACATCAGACCCGAAGGGATTCTATCATGACATGAATTCGAAATTTTTTGGGCATAGCTCTTAGATACTTGGTCTGGTTTCAGGTCTCTGCTTTGCGTCCATCTAGAGGCAAGAAATACTTCAAAAATTGTGTTCATGTAAAGAAAAATTCGCGTTCGTGTGGATGCACAGTTGCATTTGATGAATAGGAAATTACGATGAACTAATAGGATCAGCAATTCAAAATAGTGCTGCTGATTTTTTTTCANNCATTGTATAGTGAAATTACACACGAAAACGTTCCATTCTGGCTGGCCAAGTTAACGTATCTTTCAGTAATTATCATTTTGAAAGTGTTGGGACAAAATTGTTGAGTTCGCTAGAAAATCGGAAGATTTTCGACTTCTTGGGATCGGGATGTTTCGTTAGTTTTCTTTGATATTCAGTTATTGAATGTAGGTGTTAAGTTTCGCATAGTTTGCTTTAGAGAAACGTAGAATTTAGTTCGTGAGCGTTTCAGTTGAGAAATTCCAAAGTGATTGCGTTCAAATGCGTTTCAATCGACGTTCACGAATTGGCTATAATTATGGCGATTTTGGGTTGAAGTTTAACCGAATTCGAATAATGAAAATGAAGTCATAGTCGATTGTTACTGCACGGTGTGGAATGCATAAGGTGAACGTGTTCACTGAATCGGTTTCAATTCTGAGATGAACTTTAACTGCAGACACTTGCAACCGGTATCGCTGAACTGTTGTATGGGAATACAAAAGAACAAAAGTGGCAATTGATTGGAAGGGGTGTGATATGCTACGTCCGTGACTACAATCGAAAAGAAGTCAGTGTGCAGCTGGTTGATGTGAACAACATCCAGTCTTCATCCAACCACTGGAAGCTTGTTATGTATGTCTTTTTTTTGAGAGAGAGATTATCAACATCCTCCCAATAATTCCTTCTAATTTCTGGGATTCTTAAAATTCGTTTTCACTCTTCAGAGATTCTTGTTCTGATTATAATCTGAATCAAGCACTTGATCACAATACGACTCCGTCATCGTCTTCAATCGTTCATTTCTCATCTACGATATCCGAGAAGGGAATTACTTTGAACCGCTGTGAAGTAAAACTGCGATCAGGAATCATAAGCATATTCAAATAATTTCTTCCATGAACTCCACCATATTCTTGATTTAAATCCGTTCAGAAGAACTGCGAATTGGTGGAAGGAATTCGAAGATTCGAACAATTTATTCCGTTCGATATTTTGCTATCATTTTTAAAGCTTTTATTCTTCATAATTCACTGCAAACTTTTTTTTTACAGCAGTCCAACGGTTAGGTTCTTGAAGAAACATCCAAATTTAGTGGCGTTCTTTGACGATGATGGCACATTGTATGGGATCAATTTTTCGGACAGTTTCGAGGCGGAAAATTACTGTTCCACTGCTGAAAAACTGCAAGCTGGTAGTTTGCATTACCGTTCATCTTAACACTGCTCCACTTTGCTATGACCACCGACAGAATGTTTGTATCGATGGCGAAAACACTTAACAATGACAAAACTTGCTTGTTACTCGGTGGTGAGCACGAATCGATCTGCCGCTTTCGGTTTCGATCAAGAGCCACCGATCTGATCCTCTTTTCAACAATACCATACAAATGAACAAATATCTCATAATCAGTGATTCTCAGTTCAAGTTAAAAAAATACCTCATCGTCAGTTCAAGTTTATGGCTAAAAACACAGAAGCATAGATGGACCTACATTTTTGGTCTTTGTATAGAGTTTGGTTGAATGAATTCATTGCTTTTATCTTTCGCGACGGGGAGCCTTTCGGATGAATTGAATTATTCAATGTAAATTATAGAATATTTGTGAGTAGATTTGAATCGGATTTGAAGTAAATTTGAATGCATAAATTTTGATTACAGTTGGTAACCAAAATATTCGCAATTCTTCTTTGATTTTCGTTCAGTCTGCATTAAAATTTCATAGTGACGAAATAATAGTATGAAGGTGAAAGTCGCTAATTGTAAGTATCGATTTTCCTCTCGCGAGTTACATACAGAAATGGTGCCATGAGTTGGAGGAGAAAATGAAGCAAAGTACTGTTGACCTTTTTGGTACTGTTCGTTCACCTTCCAACATCTGCTTGTCTCAAAACAATATGAATTTTCACATTTGTTCAGACAGGAGGCAACGTCTTCAAAAAAAGGAGAGCTTCGTGGACACCAAAGGAAAAGAAGTTCAGGCAGAAATAACGAACGCATTGCTCAATAATGTATTACTTTATCTGTACGAATTATGCTTTAATTTTGTGAGAAAAAAATCTCAAAGATCTTGAACTTATCATGTATAAA